TAGGTGGATGAGAAGGGCAATCTGATTCCCAACACCTCGCTTTCCAGAATTTTGAAGTAAACTGGACCCCCCGGTCTGAAACAATGTCTTCTGGAACTCCATAAAGTCTTACTACTTCTCTTATGAAGATTTGCGCTGTTTCCAGAGCCGAGGGCGTGTTTTTAAGTGGCAAGAAGTGGGCCATCTTCAACAGGCGATTCACAATTAAGAAGATTGTGGTATGGTCTTGAGATGGAGGAAGGTTGACTATAAAGTCGATCGCAATCATTTGCCACGGCCAATCAGGTATAGGCAGTGGACGTAGTAAACCCCAGGCCTTGTTCCTCCTCTGACAGGTGGCGCAGGTCTTAACATAAAGCTCGCAATCCTTGGCCATGCTTGGCCACTAGAATGTGCGCTGGACTAATTCTAGAGTTTTTGCCATCCCAAAATGACCTGCCAGCGGATGGTCATGGCAGTGTCCCAGAACTAAGGTTCGGACCTCCTCAGGTACCGCGATTAGCCCTTCTTTCCATAAGAGCCCTTCCTTGCTCTGTAGGGTAACCCCGGGTGGGCTTGGCATTCCTACGGATGCACTCTGTAGCCTAGAGCGTAGCTCAGTTTGGAGGGAAAGAAAGTTCCCAGAGGACAAGATAGTGTCTGGTTTGGGGACCTCTTCTGGATCTTCAAACATGCGCGAGAGGGCGTCGGGCTTTGTGTTCTTGGACCCAGGACTATACGTGATATGGAATGTGAACCAGGAGAAAAAGAGTGCCCATCTCGCTTGGCGTGGTCTCAAGCGTTTTGCCGTTCTTAAGTATTCCAAATTTTTGTGATCAGTAAAGATCAAAATTGGATGCATGGCCCCTTCTAGCAAGTATCTCCATTACTCCAGTGCGGTCTTGATGGCCAAAAGTTCTCAGTCACCAATATCATAATTCCTTTCTGCTGGTGTAAGTTTCCTCAAGAAGAACGCCATTGGGTGCAGGAGCTCCCTGGTGCCTTTTCTCTGGGACAGGATGGCCCCCACTGCGTTTTCCGAAGCATCAACTTCCAAGACATATGGCAGGGAGGAATCAGGGTGACTAAGAATGGGAGCAGTGGTGAATAATCCCTTCAGGGTTTCAAACGCTGTTTAAGCCTCGGGTGTCCACCTGAAACGGACCCCCTGTTTCGTGAGCTGGGTAATGGGAGACACCAGACCCGGGAAGTTCCTGATGAAATTCCTATAGAAATTCGCAAAGCCAATGAAGCGTTGCACGCCCTTCTTGTAAGTGGGTACTGGCCAATCCAAGATTGCCGAGACCTTCTGCGGATCCATCGCAACCCCCGTGGTGGAGATGATCAGCCCCAGGAATGCAATACTGCGCTGCTCGAAGCTGCACTTGTCAGCTTTAGCGTACAATCCGTGTTGGCGTAGACATTCCAACACACTTTTGACATGACCCCTATGAGCTTCAAGGGAGGGAGAGAAAATCAATATTTTGTCTAAATAAATGACCATGAAGACATCAAGGTAGTCTCGAAATACGTCATTTATAAAATGTTGTAACGTGGCCGGGGCATTGCAAAGTCCGAATGGCATGACTAAATATTCAAAGTGCCCAAATCTTGTACGAAACGCAGTCTTCCACTCGTCCCCCTCCCTTATGCGGACCAGGTTATACGCACCCCTCGAATCTAGTTTGTAAAATATTACTGCTGACTTTAACCTTTGGAAGAGTTCTGGAACCAGAGGCAGTGGGTAGCGATTCTTTATCGTGATTTTGTTCAAATCGCGATAATCGATACAGGGCCGCAGGGACTTATATTTTTCTCAACAAAAAAGATTCCAGCCCCGGCTGGTGACGTGGAGGGGCGGATGAACCCCTTTTGGAGGTTCTCATCAATGTATTCTTTGAGCACCCCCAATTCCAGCTCAGATAGGGGGAATATCCGACCGAACGGAATCTCAGAACCAGGTAGGAGGTCAATGGGACAGTCATATGTTCGGTGTGTAGGAAGGATGTCTGCCCCTCGCCTACTAAAAACGTCAAGGAAATTGTGGTAGGCCGGAGGGATGGCCTGAATTAGGTCGGCATCTCCGTCCATACATAGGAGGGATTGGGGAGCCGCGGGGGGTCGAGGCGTAGCAGTGTTCCCGGCAATACGGGGATAGGAACTGAATGGACCCGGTTTCCCAATCAATCTGGGGGTTGTGGGCCTGCAACCAAGGGAGCCCCAGAATGACTGGGAAAAGAGGGGAGGCTATAGCGTCCAGGCGGAGGAACTCCCGATGGTGGTCAGCTACTGTCGTGCAGATAGGGGGAGTCTCCCGGTCTACCAACCCTGACTTGATACGTGATCCGTCAGCCAAAAAGATGTTAAACCCACGTTCCCTGGTCTGGAGGGAGATATTCTGTTGGTTGGCAAAATCTTAATCAACAAAACAACTTCATGCCCCGGAATCAATTATTGCTGTTGTTGACACAGTTCTTCCTGGAAGCTGAAAGGAAACGGGTATGGCTAAGTAATTGGAATGGTTAGAGCATTCAGAGGATACAGAAGAAAAAACAGAAGCAGACTTACTCAGTTTCGCTGGGCAGGAATGCACCATATGACCAGCTTCTTCACAGTAAAGACAGAGATTATTTGCCCGTCTTCTCTGGCGTTCCTCGGCCGACAATGATGGCCGTGCCAATCCAAGCTGCATGGGCTCAGGGGCATCATCAGACTCCAAGTTCCGGTTTCCCCCTGGCAGAGGTTGGACTGGGGCCCGAGGGGGTACCCATGTAGATCTCTGACCCTGGCTGGTCCTCTCCAATCTGTGTTCCCGCAGTCTGCGGTCAATTTGAATGGCTAAGGTAATGAGATTCTCCAAGGAATCGGGTAGGCCCCCAAGCTAACTCATCCTTAAGAGCCTCGGACAGCCCTATGCGGAACTGATGGCGTAATGTGGCATCATTCCACTGGGTATCCCCCATCCATCGCCTGAACTCCGAAGCATACTCCTCCGCTGCCCAGCGGCCTTGTCTGAGAGAGTACAGGGCCGTTTCTGCGGAGGCTGCCCGCTGCGGGTCATCATATAAAACTGCCATTGCATCAAAGAAGTCAGTTACCATCTCTAGGTGGGAATCGTGGGTTTCCATTAGTCAGTGAGCCCAGCCCTGGGGTTCGTCCTGGAGCAGAGACACGATGAATCCCACCTTAACTGATTCCGTGGAAAATGTTCGTGGCCCCTGAGTACACCCACCCGTGGTAGAGGGATCTGCCAAAGGTATCTGCAAGATAAGAGGCGGATGGGTCCGAGCAGGACGAATGGTTGGATGGCTGAGCAGAAGCATGGTCAGACAGGCCAGGTCGGTAACCATGGGGACAGCGCGGTACAAGGCAGCAGGCAGAGAATAGTCGGGTCACTCGCCGGGTCAGTAACGGGAGGTCAGATCCAATGAGGGGCATCCAAAGAGAGGTCAGGCAAACCAGGGGTCAGGGCAGGAGAATACAGCACGGTCAGGATCAATCAGGGTCGTCAACAATCAATCAGCACAGATAACAGGAGCAGGAACAACAGATAAGACCATACGGCAACCAGTGTCAGTGCAGAGCGGATTTAAATACCGCGCCCTGCACTGTCATTGTTGCCAGGCGCACGCCCGCGGTCCCAAGTGCGAATGCGCGATTTCGCTGTCGTCGCTGCCGCCCAGGACCTAGTGCCTGCACGCCAGTGCGAATCAGCACACTGCGCCTGCGCCGAGCCACGCGCCGCAGCGAATCCTGACAGGTATATTCAATATGTTCAGCTGCTGCCAGGCTGATAGCTCCCTTTGTCTCCAGAGAGCCTGAAACATTTCTGGATGATAGGTGTGAAGCTATGCAGATGGCAGCATGAATAATGAAACAGCCCTGGCCTATCGCAGAGAGGCAGGCTCTGATGGTATGCTGGGAGACTGTATATATTCAGTGAGCACACTGAGTTCTGGGTCTTTGGCATGTTGCCCTCCCAGGCAATGCTGCTGCATCTGCTGTCATAGGCCTAAGAAGGGCAATATGGGGGTCTGAATACTGAGACCACCTGGGTTCTGCTAAGAACTGACTGTGGGGCTATATACTGAAGATCTGGTCTGATATCATGGAGGAAAGCAACCTGCTGTTCTTGGGCCTTGTAAGTGCAGATACCCCTAAAGGATCTTAGAGACTTTTTGCTACTTAAACCCCTCTGGTGCTTGGTCCTGTAGGCTTCAGTAAAGTTCTGCAGAGTCCACCTAGTTAGTACTCCCTTAATCTCCAACTGGTTAAAAACTCAGTGGGTACAAGATAAATTCAGAGGGCTCACATGAGAAGCTGAAATTACTCAGAAGACTTTTCTCCTTTTTTAGGGAGGGTTACTTGCATGATTTTCTTTAAGCCTTGGTTTACACTGATGTAGTCTGGAATTCGCAGCGTTTTCTGTGCGAATTCCGCACCGAATCAGAACCGCACCCCATTCATACAAACCGGGGGTGTGTATGTTAACCTCCCTGGCAGTATGATTATTTCATATTTTTGGTGCTGAAAGCGGTACCATTTTTTTGCATGGAAATATGTATTTTTTTTATTGTAGGCCTGTAATTTAGGAATAACTCCCTGAAATCTGTCCGAACAAGAGTCTAGTAAACATTCCGGATATGATAAAACTTGAAACACGAAATCATAAATTATAATTTAATAAATACTCATAAAAAATAATAATATAATAATAATACATTTTATTCAATAATATAATCAAACCAAAAACACTGAAATTTGAAATATAGCGCCAAGTTCGCACATCACTGAGCAAAGTCGCAAAATTGTTTTCAGTGTCTGATGACGAATTTTCCTCACAAATCATTATTGCTCAATTCTGCAAGTAGTTCTGATTTACTATCGCTGTTCTCTAGCTGGTCTAAAACCGCTTTTGACGTAAAGGGACGCTTTTTGGACGCCGAGGACTTTTCTAAGTTTCCAGGCAGAAAGAACAGTCAAAATGCAGGCAGCGCACAGGACAAAGCAGTAGGGACAAAATGTATGTGAAATGCTTTGATACAGGAATGTTTTGCTATGAAATAATCGTTTTAAAAAAAAATGTCATTTTTTTTTAAATTTTCAAATTTGCCGCCGGTTTTGGCGCCCGTACGTCCCGACGTCACAGGGACCGGAACACGGAAGCCAGATGCCGGCATCCGCCGGAGGAGATGGCCGGGGACGCTGCAGGGGAACGCATCGCAGGAGCGAAGGACAAGGTAAGCGCTGTAAGGAATCCCTGTGCAACGCCGTATGGTAAGCCCGAGTGTAGCTCGGGGTTACTGCTTTTGGTACTGAAACCTTACCTTGAGCTACACTCGGGAATACCGCCAGGGAGGTTAAGTTAACAACATCCTGAAAGCGGTCCGTAAAGTGCAGTGTGATGTGCAGAATTGGATCACATAGGTGTAAATACCCATGCGATCTGATTCTAGTGCGGACCAAAAAACGGTCCTGCACGTTTTTGGTGCGGGTGCGATTAGAGCCATACAAAATGTATGGCTCCAATCACACCACACACAAATAGCATGTGATTTTCACAGGAATGTGGTGCGGTTCCTGTGCGAATCACATACGATGTACCGCACCACATATATGTGAACATATTTTGATATGTTTTTTTACCATTGCCCCAGCCATCCTTTACAATCTATTTGCTAAAGCTAAATATAATGCTGTGGTTAATCCGAACATTACAGTTCTTCAACAACTGCTTTATTGGTATTCAACAATGCATTACTTTTCATTTTCCTATGGTAGATCCATTTTGGTTATTATTATAATTATATTTTTCTCTTTGCAGTTGACACTACTCAAGCAACCATGCCACAAAGTGTGATCTCAACAAATACAAGTAATGGACACTTACAATAAGTAAATCCTATAGAAACACAGAAATTGCAGACAGTTATATTTCATAGACTTTCCTAATAAAACGTGTTTTTTGTTTGTAAAAATGTACTTATAGAGCTGATTCACACATATGCGGTGCAGGCTGAAGCTCAGGTTTCACAGCTAATTGATATAGTAGTTGGTCATATAATACACAAAATAGCAGGAGCGCTACCTCAATGTATGTTATATTACATGGAGAACATGCTATAATAATGAACACATAACAAAAAAATTGTGAAATAAAGTCTTAAATGTGAAATCAACAAGTGAACAAAAATCCCTTTCACATCCAGAAGGTAATAAGTGCTCTGTGCTCCCCGCCTGTGTGCCCCCGCACTTCCCAACTATAATGGACTCTTATGGTGAAATAAGAGCCTTTCATGCCATAGGAAGTCATGCTGGAGCTTGTAGTCCTCCTGATTAAATGTTGCATGTCATTCCCAGTGATTGAAATGTAGAGCCGACAGATATGCTGGAGCTTGTAGTCCTGCTGATTAAATGTTTATTGTCATTCCCAGTGATTGAAATGTAAAGCCGATAGGTATATACATGTAAGGAATAGTTACATAGTTAGTCTGGCTGAAAAAAAAAAAAGACAAAAGTCCATCCAGTTCAACCATAAAAAAGTGCTATAATCCTATACCCACAGTTGATCCAGAGGAAGGCAAAAAAAACCCAGCAAAGCATGATCCAATTTGCTCCTGCTGAGAAAAAAAATCCTTTCTGATCCCCTGAGAGGCAATCGGATATTCCCTGGATCAACTTTACCTATAAATGTTAGTATCCAGTTATATTCTGTGTATCGAAGAAATAATCCAGGCCTTTTTTTATAGCAATCCACTGAGCTGGCCAGAACCAACTCTTGAGGGAGTCTATTCCACATTTTCACAGCTCTCACTGTGAAGAAACCTTTCCATATTTGGAGATTACATTTCTGTTCCTCCAGACATAAAGAGTGCCCCCTTGTCCTCTGTGATGACCTCAGGGTAAATAGCTCTACACCGAGTTCACTATATGAACCACTGATGTATTTATACATGTTGATCATATCTCCCCTTAACCACTTGCCTTCCTGAGGATTTACCCCCCTTCCTGACTAGGCCTCTTTTTGCTACTCGGCGCTGCACTAATTCAACTGATAATTGCGCGATCATGCAATGCTGCACCCAAATGAAATTTACGTCCTTTTTTTCACATAAATAGAGCTTTCTTTCGGTGGTATATGATCACCTGTGCACTTTTTCTTTTTCATGCTATAAACAAAAAAAGACCAAAAATTTTGAAGAACAATTATATTTTTTACTTTCAGCTATAGAAAATATATAGTAAACTCAAAGTTAGTTATAAATTTAGGCCAAAATGTATTCTGCTACATGTTTTTGGTAAAAAAAATCCCAATAAGTGTATATTGATTGCTTTGTGTGAAAGTTATACTGTCTACAAACTATGGTATAGATACTGCAATTTACGCCATTTTTTTTTTTTTTGCTATACAGCGCTGCGCTAGTTTAACACACAATTGCGTGGTCATGCAATACGGTACATAAATTAAATTTATGTCCTTTTTTCACAAAAATAGAGCTTTCTTTTGGTGGTATTTGGTCACCTGTGTGCTTTTTATTTTTGGCGCTATAAACAGAAGAATTTTAAAGAAAAAACATATTTTGAAAAAAACTATATTTTTTTCTCATTTCGGTCATAAAAAATATCCAAAAAAACTAAAATTTCATCATAAATTTAGGACAAAATGTATTCTGCTACCTGTTTTTGGTTTCTGGTTGTGAAAGTTATAGCGTCTACAAACTATGGTATAGATAATGGAATTTACACAGCTTTTACTTTCTGACTGCCCATCACATTTCTTGAGGTGCTAAAATACCAGGATAGTACAAACACCCTCAAATGACCCCTTTTCGGAAAGTAGACACCCTAAGCTATCTGCTGAGTGGCATATTGAGTCCATGGAAGATTTATTTTTTTTTCCACAAGTTTCTGTAAAATGACAAAAACATTTTTTTTTTATTTTTTTTTTTTTACACACAGTTGTCATTTAAATGATTTATTTCTCGCACAAGCCATGGGTATATGTGGAATTACACCCCAAAATACATTCTGCTACTTCTACCAAGTATGGCGATACCACATGTATGAGACTTTTTGGGAGCCTAGCCACATACAGGAGCCTGAAATCCAATGACCACTTTGAAAGCCTGAAGGTGCGTAACTTCCTCATTACACTTCCTCACTACCTATCACAGTTTCGAAGGCCCTGACATGCCAGGATAGCACCAAACTCCCCCAAATGACCCCTTTCTGGAAAGTAGACACCCTAAGGAATTTAAAAAGAGGCATGGTGAGTGTTTTGCAGATCTAATTTTTTCTCACAAGGTTTTGAAATATAAAAAAAAATAGAAAAAATATGTTTTTGTTTTTTTTCTTCATTTTCCAAAAACTTGTGGCAACAAATGAGATCTGCAAAATACTTACCATGCTTCTTATGAAATTCCTTGGGGTGTATACTTTCCAAAAAGGGGTCATTTGGGGGGGTTAGGTGCTATCCTGGTATTTCAGGGCCTCCGAAACTATGATAGGTAGTCTGGAAGTGTAATGAGGAAATAAAGCCCTTTAAAAGCCTGAAGGTGCTTATTGGATTTTGGGGTCCTGTACTTAGCTAGACTGCCAAAACGTCTCTCACATGTGGTACCCCCATACTCGGGAGAAGTAGCAGAATGTATTTTGAGGAGTAATTCCACATATACCCATGGCATGTGTGAGCAGAAAATCATTTAAGTGACAATTTTGTGTAAAAAAAAAAAAAAAAAAATATTTTTTTTGTCATTTTCCAAAAACTTGTGGTAAAAAAATAAATTCTTCTATTGATTAAAATGCCTCTTAGCAAATAGTTTGGGGTGTCTACTTTCCAAAAAAGGGTCATTTTTTTTGGGGGGGGGCATTTTATGCCCAGCATTAGAAGTTTATGCCACACATCATTCACTCTTCTAACCACCTAAAGATCAAGCCTTTTCTGACACTTTGGGGTTTATTTACTAAAGCTGGAGAGTCCAAAATCAGACTCCCTTCTGCATAGAAACCAATCAGCTTCTAACCTCAGCTTGTTCAATGAAGCTTTGGCAATGAAACCTGGAAGCTGATTGGTTTCTATGCAGAAGGGAGTCTGATTTTGGACTCTCCAGCTTTAGTAAATAAACCCCTTTTTGTTCACATGAAAAAAATCAGTATTTTTTGCTAGGCAATTGATTTAAACCCCCAAACATTATATATATTTTTTAAAAGCATATACCCTAGTGAATAAAAAGATGGGTACTACATTTTTTTATGGCACATAGTACTCGCGCAGTGATTTTTCAAACGCAAATGTTTTTTAAAAAATACACTTTTTTTTACTTTTAATGCACAAAACACAATATATTGGCCAATTATTTGGTAAAATATAAATAAATATAATGGTATGCCGAGTAAATAGATACCAAACATGGCATGCTTTAAAACTGCGCATGCCCCGTGCAATGGCGACAAACTGCATACATTTTTAATATCCATAGGCAACACTTTAAAAGCCTTTCAAAGCTACCATTTTAGATTTACAGAGGAGGTCTAGTGTTAGAATTACTGCCCTTGATCTGACGTTCACGGAAATACAGTACCTCACATGCATGGTGCAACTGCTGTTTACATACCGGCACAGGGTCAAGGCTTGTGCACACAGGTGTGCGTGCATGGGAGGGGCGAGTTTTTTTTTTTTTTTTTTAAGTTATTTTGATTTTTTTTAAATTATTTTTACACTGTACCTTTCATTTTTTTTTTGATCACTTTTAATGCTATCACAGGGAATGCAACTATCCCCTATAACTTCAATACTATCCCCTATAACTTCAATGGGCATTGTCATATATTCTTTTTTGAGAAATCTGGGGCCTATCAGACTCTGGATATCTCCTCTGCCCTTACATTACCAAAATCGGTGTGATCAGATGCTTTCTCAATTTACAAATGGCGCTGTTTATATCCTGCGAAACTGAAGTGATGAAATGCTCGTAGCTTCCGAATTCTTAGACTATAGAGATGATTGGCACCACTCTGGTCTCCAGTGAGCTCTATGGTCAGCTGGCAGAAACACCGGCTGCATTCTCAGGTTCCCCCGATGGCACGGCACTGCCCGAGAAGGCCGTGGAAGGCAGCGGGAGAGGGGGGGCATCATCTCTAGCTGCTTTTAAAAGCAATCCTGCAGCTAATTAGCCACTAGGATTGATTTTTATGAAAGCCAATCGCCGGCTGAAAAAAAATGATACCAGGATGATGCCTGCAGCTGTAGGCATCATCCTGGTATAACCATTCAAAGT